CATTTATAAAGCCACACATACAAGAGTGATAAAGCCAGATTTGATTTTCCCTGTTTATTTCGGATTCACTTATCCGCAATAAATGCACTTTTGTAAACAAACGAGACATGGTCTACACATCATTACGACGTGTTTTTAATTGAACCGAGGCTGATCAATTAATGAAGTGTAACATGAATGCAACAAACATCGGTTAAAAAAAATCATGCAATATTCATTTACCAAGCTAAATAATTTTACAAACCACATTATCAAATTATTTGTATATTTCTTATTTTTAAAACAGAACACACACAAAACAATTGTCAACTTTTTAAAATGTATAAATGAGCATTAACGCAAAGAGCACATTAAATTTTGACCTTTAAGGGCCCATGCAGTGTAAATGTTTTAACACTCCTTGAAAATGCACCTTTTTGTCTCAATTAACCTTATTTTCAATGTTTGGTTGGCCATTTTAAATGATATGGTTTTTATGCTAATGCAAATTACCATATTCATGAGCAAATCTCAAATCTGTGACGTCATTCCGGGCAGAAACCTCAATGTTACAGCTATTTCAGCACAAAAAGTTGATAGAATTTGGGATAGTTTGCCGTCGTAAAGTTTCTTAATGTACCGTATTCAACTTACCTTATAGTATGGAAATTAGCCTGAAACCTGAATCCCGAACCTGAAACAGAAAACAGTGTCTTCCTGGAATTTCATCACAACAAGAGCGCTCTCACCGGTAAAGCATGGAATATAAGTGCACTTTTCAGTATAATTAACAAATCATGATTGTCAACAGTTTTCATGCATTTAAGAGGAGTAGAAAGTTGCTCAAAACCTCATCGCATTGATCCCTTTAAACAATACGCAGAGACGTTGTAATATAAAATATCGGCTCACATATATTTTATGATTTAGGCTGGTCCCCGTTCACCAGTTAAAATACATGTATATTCAATAAAAGCGCAAAGAAATTAGACAGTCTTCCCACAATTAGTGCATTGCCACTCCGTCATCAGAAGACAGAATTCCGAGTGGGAAGAAGATGACGGCTAGGAGAAAGCCTATACCTTACTAGACCGCTCCCTGAGCACTTCGCTGTGACACATCGGGCAATGGATGGAGGGTTTGGGCCGGACCTCACCGGTTAGTAAGGAATCGTAGGGCGGTGTTGGATATTCCTGCTGTTGCTGCTGCTGCTCAAATTCTTGTTGTTGTTGTTGTTGTTGCTGCTGCTGCTGTTGCTGCGGCGTAATCAAAATTTGGCTGTCACTAACAGATGGGTATAAGTCTGCAGCTGCTGTTGCTGCTGCTGTTTTTGTTGTTGTTCCTGATGTTGTTGTTGCTTCTTGTGTTGCTTCTGCTGCAAAGTGATCAAGATTTGGCTTTCACTATCTGATGAGCAAGTATGGTGCTGCTGCTCGTAACTAATACAGTTTTGGCTTCCTACACTATTTTGGTAAGTATGCAGCTGCTGTTGTTGTTGCTGCTGTGGCTGCTGTTTCTGCTGTTGCTGCTGTGCGCAACTGAGTGAGTTTCGGTTTCTTCCATCTGGTTGGTATAAAGCCTGGAACTGCTGTTGTTGCTGCTGCTGTTGTTGTTTCTGCTGTTGTTGCTGCTGCTCGTGACTGATGAAGATTTGGCTTCCTCCAGCTGGTTGGCAAATCTGGAGCTGCTGTTGCTGCTGCTGATGTGGACTAAATGCTTGGTGTACCTGCCCCGGTTGTTGATAGCCCTGCAGTTGCAACTGTTGCTGCTGCTGTTGCAGCTGTGACTTGTGTTGATGCTGCATTTGTTGGTAATGGAGAATCAATGGTTCATGGAACGGGCGAGGAAAATGGCGCAACAAAACGAATGCCTTGCCGCACAGCATGCATGTACTAAGTCTCAGAATAATTTCCTGACGACAAAATGGGCGAAAGCCTTCACAGTATATTGTTCTTTAAAATGGAGCGGGCAGTTGGGTTGATGTGATTTTCATATATCAGATTTTACAAAAGGGATTGTGTCGGAAACTGCAACTCAAATCCTCTATAGCGTAGGCATCGGCAATGTTTACTAGCGTTTACTTTCCGAATTTTGTTCCAATTAAATTCTAAACAATTCTTGACAAACACTCTTTCTGGTTCTGTCAATTTTGTAACGTTTACTTACGAATTCCATGCAACGGCTGGTAGTGGGCTGTAGCTTGTTGCCTTCCTCGGTAAGATGCGTTCCTTATATCGTGTTCAATTGACGAGATGCGTGCAAGTGAATTATTTATGCTAGCCCGAATTGTGCAAAGTTAATATTGCACTATTCCGTGACAAGTCTGTATATCATGCCTTCACTTTATTCTCATTTTGCCTCAGGAATCATTTTTTTTCGTCTGTTTCTCGTGAAATGTACCGAGGCGGACTTTAAAAGACAGCGGCTTCGACCTATACTTGCATTGTCCAGCGGCTTATGTATGTGCATTGAACTTTGGAATCTGTCTGACATTGGATTACACTCTTGCTATATGCTTTTGCATAAACGTGTACTAGGAAATTGTCCCACCTTCATCAACATATCTTGCGTGTATTGATAACACCCTGCTCTTGGGTTATATTTACTGGTCCTTTTTGTACCTTACTGCCTGAATAACTAAATGACTGACTGACTCAGTTTACTCACTCAATGACTGTCGCTTAAGAAATAGACTTGTAACAGTCTCACCTTGGCGCGCTAACTTTCACTTTGCTGGTCCCAGAGGGTCAGCCGATTATCCTCTTAGTTGTACTTTCTAACGGATTGACTGACTGACTATCTGACTATTTTGTAACTTATAAATTAGATTTGAATAAGTCTTACCTTGGTACAAAAAATACTTTGCTGGTTCCAGAGACCAGATTACAGTCGTCTTTGTACCCCTCAATGACTGATGACTGGCTGACTCAGTTAATTCCACCTGTGAATTAGATTTGCATCAGCCTCAGTGGCAAATTTGCATTTGCCACCCCCCTTATGACTCGTTTTGCCCAGCTAGACCCCTAGCTTGCCTGGTCTTGTATTGCGGTTGGCTAAAGTTTGATAGTTTCAGGATGAGTTGTCATAACAAGGTCAATGCATGTGCTCGGCGTAGGTGTGATCTAGTTGGGCTATTGGTTCACGGATCCTACACACAAGGATTAACGACTCGGCCCAACTCCTGGTTAGACGTGTGATAACGGCCCATGCTGGTGGCAATTACCATGAATACTTGTCAACAAAGACCACTGCGCGCGGTGGCTTTCAGATTTGCAAGGCTCTGCGCCCGATCTGGCCTCGAAGCCTGTCAAGCCAGCGAATTATATTTTTTGAATATTCATGAGTCTACGTTTTTGGTCTTTATTAGTGAACTCTGATAAGTGATAACTACATAACCATGGTAATGCCGAGCACAATATCTTTAGCTTTAAGATTAACAAAGAAATGTCGCTTTTGTTTCATCGGTTCGGCATCACATCTCTCTAAAACTTTTCAATAAAAGCCTAATTAAAAACGAAATTTGGGTAAACGGTGTTCTCCGCGAAATTTGACGTTTATTTCCCGGGTAAATACTTCATCTATGACTACAAAAACTGCACAATACCATCTGTTATATCCTGAAGTATTTATTTTTCAAATAATTTGGAACAATTATATCTTAAATAAGAAAGAGTTTTGCTTACAGTTTTATGAATATTTCCGTTTTAGATGTCATGCAAAAACCCAACTCAATGGCACATCTGGACAATTCGCGATTACGCGCCAACGGATATTAATGCCCGTTATCACGCGTCTAACCAATTAAGGCAAGTCCACTGAGTGCATTTTGTACTAGAGCTCAGAACAGTCGTTTATCCTGGTGTCTAGGATCCGTGATTGGTTCAACTGCAACTCGCAGCAGAAGTCATCTACTTTTGCACGGTCCACATTATTGAACACATTCAAATTAAAGTCTCCAACAATGATAAATTCACGGTTACCGCAATCAAACTGACCAACTTCATTTTTCAGTTTCAAAAGAATGGAGCAAACTTCGAGGTGACTATCCAGCTTGATTTAATTTTGTCGGAGACATAATTACTACTGCTCAAAAATGTTACTTTTACCGACATACAAATACACGTTTGTGCACAAACCTACCAGAATGTAGGTGAGCGTAACGCACGTTTTACCCCACGCACTACTGTGCGTAGAGCGTCCATGACGGAACGGGAAAATTTGTGATGTTCAGGATAAAGTAGTCGTACGCGCGCGAGCCAGTACATCACGCACACTCGGTGTCCTATCCAAGGGGCTCTCAAAAGAGGTAAAACGCGCCCTCTAATGTGTTGGCTCACGGAGCCCATACTCCTTCCAGATGTGGTTTTCAGCAAAACGAAAACAAATCTTATAGGTGTGTGTGAATTGTTTTCGTTTTGCTGAAAGAAGGCACACCTTGGCTTCAACAACTCAGCTTCGCCTAGTGTACTGGAAAATTCTAGATTTTACCTTGCGATAATATTCCTCACATTTCCCTATAAGCCACTCAATAATTGTATACTCATATATTACACTACACCGGCACAGCTGCGTTCTAAGCCACTCGCGGAGCACGCGCGACGCGCGAGCGACAATCTCCATATAAGGGGTTGTTTACGACAGGGACATACCATAATATAGCTACAGGGGTGTTATGAAAAATATGAAGTAAACTTATTGAACAAAGTCGTTGGAAATTTAAACTTTTTGACTTGCTTTGACTTTTGGACCGAAAACTTTAGATTTTTTTTTTACAGAAAAGGTATTTATGAATGGGAATAAATATATGCTTGGCCGGTATTAGACACTATGTATAAAATCAGTTGGGAGTCTGGATGGTGATAATTACCCATGCCTTCGGCTTGAGTAATTATCAGCATACAGACTCCAACCGGTCTTAAATAGAGTGTTTAAAGCCGGCCAAGCACACACTTATTCCTTTAATAACACTGCTCTTGTTTCTTTAAATGGATTGATGAACAACAAAAATTACTGACAAAAGGTTTGGGTACTTGCATGTTTTATTGAAAAAGTAAATATAACTCCTTTAAATTCTGTGTACAAAATTGAAAAAATATAAAAAGGGCAAATAATAACGTGTACACAAATACAATGTGTTACATAATTTGACATTTTTTAGCCCTTAATTTTAGAGGCACGTAGGAAGATTTGCAGTTACCCGGAAGCGTACGATACAATTCAACGAAGCAAATGCTCACTCAAAGTGACGATAGGACCGGCACCAGGTATCCTGTGAAATTACTCCGCCTGATATGGCATCCTTCGAAAGAAAACAATGATTGAAGGTGGTTTGAGACAGTGCGCCTAGGGCACAGATCTTTGTTGCATGCGTTAATAGCAACGGAATCCAGTTACAAGACCTCACAAAGTGTGCTTGCGTTTTCTCTGTTTTCTCAAAATGTATAGTATCCAATGAGCTGAAACTTCAACAAGTTAGTTGTTATGCATGACACTAATTAATATGTCGAGCAATTTTGTTGCTTCAAAAGAAGAGAAAAAACTGCACAAAAAGCAAATGATCATATGTACCTGCAGTAAAGTGCACCAGCTAAAGTTTGCATTTATTATTTGTGATAAAGTGTTTTTATCGAATACCGAATTTCGTTCTTTTGCTGTAACTTGTTTTAATGCATTGCTATTTCAAATCCTTCCCAGAACTGGAATCTTTCCGACGTACATCTATGACATAAAAGCATCTAATCAGTTTTCTATTAAATGGTACTTCATTGTATATTGAACCAAAACGTTTTTATATAAAGCATTTGAATTTGTTTTTTTATATATAACCTAAAAGCATACTATGTTCAAGCCACAAAACATGAAAGCGTTTACATGTTCGATACCTTTAATGGATAATTACTGCAGTCCTTAATGCCTTTTGTCAATAATACAAAATGTATCCAAAGCTTAAGAAAAAAGGGCTATAAAAATATAACCGTAAAGTAACCGTTTTATTTCTAGTAAAAGTAACTGTTTTATTTCTAGTAAAGTAACCATTTTATTTCTAGTAAAGTACCGTTTTATTTCAAATCATTGAGTTCTGTAAAACAAGTTTATGTGAAAACAAAATGGCACCCTCTTGTTAAACTTGAGGTTGTTATTGTATTTTGTTAAAGGCATATAGGATCGTTTGGTTTTCATGCATTTCGTTTCAAATAGTAACACATAAAATACAAGAAGAATGTTCAAAACCTGAACTATAAGTTTCAGCTCAGTGGATATTTTATTTTTCGAGAAAACAGTGAAAAAATGGCACAGCCTTTCATCACAAAAAACGAGTTCGTCGATGGCACACTTTTACTATAAAAAAAACCCAGCCAAGTGACTGATCGTTGCAGGAAATTAACTACATTTCTTGATTTCTCCTAAATGACAGCAAGCCATGCTGACGGAATAATTTCACAGTCTGTTTAGTATCAGTACGATCTTTTAATCCAACTGAGCCTTTTGATGGTAATTCGGTAGGTTACTTTTTGGATAAATGCATAAGATCCTATATGCCTTTATTTAAATCGCAGCTAATTCTTAAATAAAAACAAAGATATAAAAAAGATGGAGTCTTACGGCGCTCCTGCAAATCCGTGTGTTTTTTTTCAGTACAACAAGAATAAGTTTTGTGAAATATGTCGTTTGGAAATAACAAAATGTTTTATGGGAACATATATATTTCAAAACCTTAAGCTTTATCTTTCAGAGCGGTGCTTATTACAGATACAATTAAGAAGCATGAAACAACACAGCTTTTATACATGCGTGAAATGTGATAAAGGGACCGTAAAAAGCCTGAAATATATTAAAAAGAAAAGAAAAAGAAAAAACGAACCCTGCTCCTTGACATGTTGATTTTTCAATTTTTCTCGAAATAATTAACTGTTTCATTACAAAACTTGGGCCGATCTTTTCGTTTGATGTCCCATTCAAAAGTGACTAACTTTTTGTATGGCTAGAAAAAGAACAATTTCACAATTATTTTTTTTCTGTGTGAAAAGGGGACAGTAGCGTCCTCAAATTACAGCCTAGAAAGATCGTGTATAGCTCGATATTTCAACAAAGACAGTGTCGCATGAGTAATGCTCCCCCCACTAAATTCGTTTCATAGGCTTGTGGTGTGTAAGACGATGTATGCCTAATGTGGTTCTGCTGTTGGGAACTAGCCGTTTTTGCTTGGTCCTTTGTGTGTTTCCGTGAACTTGTTGAGGGCCCTTTCTGAATGTGAAATCATCCGTATATAGGCTTCTTTTTTTGTCGGTCTCTCAATAATATATAAACTTGTATACTTACAACTAGCTACTGCATATTTTAGGCCTAGTATCGTGTATTTTGTAAACTGATATTTCGTATGTACCTTGTAACAGCAAAGACCATAGTGACCAACATTAGCTCACTTCATATATAACCAAAGCATTAAGAAACAGTGACCGAAAATTAGTATCCAAATTTATTCACACATGAAATATTTCGTACTGAAAGTTGTTGTTGTTGTTGTTGCTGTTGTTGTTGCTGCTAGGCTGATGCTGCTAATTTTAAAGGAGTAGGCCTAGGGAAAGCTATGTTGGCCTATAAACTTTTATAAACCTTAATTGCCGTGACAGACATAAAAATCTTGAGGTTTTTCCACTGTGTCTCCCGTTCTTGGCTGTACCGGTGCACCTGTTTACGCGCCGAAGCGCGCCCCGCAGTGAGGGCAGACCTTCTCGGTCATCATAAGGCAGCAGATCACACCGAGCGGGAAGAAGAGGACGGCCAGTACGATGCCGACTGCCGAGAACTCCTCCCTCATGTTGCCGATGTGGCAGACGGGACAGTTACCCACGGTTACTATATGGGAAGTGGTCTGGGCTGGCACAGTGACTTGGACCACGGTCGGCTGCTGCATCGGCTGCTGCATCGGCTGCGGCTGTGGCTGGGGAGCTGATGAGGAAAAAAGGAGCACAATACACTTAACGTATATAAAGAAGGGTTCGGATGGGTTATAAGGAAAAAACCTTCCAAATTCATGGCACTGCTAAAGCGGATAAAAGTGCTTTTCAACTTTCTGTTCCACGAAAAAACAATCAGTGGAGAATTTGTCATATCTAATGATATTAACCAATCAGGACCATTATAGTTAATTATGGTACGCGTGGGGATTATGCGCTTGGAAAAAGTGGCCGATTAAATCACCATTCTGCGTAATATTTTCACCAGACTTATTACATAAATACATTTCAATATCTTGATATCGGATGTACATTGCCGATAGTGTGCTAGGTTAAATAACAACGCAAAATGGTTATAAAGCGACTTTTTTTCCGATTCGGATATACGTATCCCGTACGCGTACGATTTATAATTGTTCTTATTAAATGGTACGCGTACGGGATGCGTATGCGGCTAGAGCGGGAAAAGCTGCTCGTTAAATCACCATTTTGCGTAATTAGTTTATCCGACATGCCATGGGCAGTGTGCATTTCACAGCAAAATGTTGAGATGCATACTTGTGGATTTGGTCAAATAACATCACAAAATGGTGATTTAGCAAGAAATTGTTCCCTATTTGGTGCCTATCTATATAAAAAGGTGATCCGCGGATCGCAAGTGTCGCCTTTTTTCGCGGTCGATCCGTATATGTTTTTTTTTTATATAAACAATGCCTTTTTTTGCCTTTTAAAAAATGACCTCACATGACCCCTAGTTGACCTTTGAACTCCAATGTCGGAAGAGTTGTCCTGAACCCCCAAGGATCACTACATCACTACACTGAAATCCATCAAATTCTGTAGACACTGAAACATTTGAAGCATATTTGAACAATGACCTCTAACGACCCCTACATGACCTTTAACCTCAGTAATCCGATGAAGAATCGTGTCTTCCCACCCAATACAAGGGTCACTGCATCCAAGTGTCATCAAATTCCATGAAAGCATGTAAAGGTTATACACTTTTTTTTCAAAAACTTAAACTTAACTTTAACATACGGTCATACATCCCCCAAATAACTCTGTTTAGGAGACACAAAAATACATAGATCACGCAATAGGGCGACGCTGTGGCATGTTAACCTATTTTTGAAAGGCCAGTAATTGTATGTGAACCTTGCAGTTAAAAGCAACATGAAATTAGTCACATAATATGAGCTCCATTTAAAGTTTGGAAATCTCTCCAACGTTTTAAAAAATACTGTCCACTCCCCCCATAACTTGAAGACACACTTCCTAGGTTTGTAATCTGTGAAATACTTCCCGAAAGTTTTCAACCAAATTTTCACAACTGCCGCACATCAAAGGTCATCAAGTACTCTCGTCTTTCGAAGACTGCTATTGGGCTATGAGTCCGCCATCCATACAATTTCTTATGTAGTTTAAAAAAAGAAAAAGAGTTTTTTTTTTTTTTTTAAATTGATGTTGCCGATAAAACAATTCATTATTATGTCGGCTTGGTTTGCCGCAATACGAAGCTGTATTAGGGACACGGTGAAAAAATAAATCCCTCTCCGACTTCTCACCCCTACGTGTGCCTTGTAATTTACAATCCATATACGTTCGCCTTATAACTCGTATATACGCCTTATAACTCGTACGCACGTACGCCTTATCGTACGGGTTACTCTTTACAAGACGTACGTACGAGTTAATGCGTACGTATGAGTTGCAAGGCGTACGCACGAGTTATAAGGCGTACGTACGAGTTATAAAGCATAAGTGCCGGTTATAATTTTTAAGTCGTAAGAACGAGTTACAAATCGTAAGTACGAGTTATAAGTCGTACTTACGGATTAGCGGAAGTAAGATGGAGAAAAATTTACCATGTCCCCAACATAGCTTCGTAGCCATAAACTACGACTAAAACCGAACGAAAGTTCACGCAAGAGTTCATGAAATAAAGCAGCATTTATATATAGTTGTAATAAATTATTATGCACATAGAGGGACTAAAGAAATGTAAAAAAAAAATTGTACCGTGCAGGGGCGGCGGAACCGGGGGGGGGGGGGGGAGGGGGGAGGCACTTGTGTTCCCCCCCCCCCCCCGATTTTCCCAGGCCAACAAAAGTGCCCCTCTCGCGGATATATATGTGCCCCCTCGAGATGTAAACAAAACTGCCCCCCGGACGCACACGTATGAAAGCATAATTATGATCAAAACCACAAGTGCCCCTCTCGCATTAACAAGATTGGGAACCTTCTCGAGATGGAAAACTACCCCTCGAAAGCACAAATATCCCTCTCGCAATAATAAAATTGTGCCCCTCTCGAGATGGAAAATTGGCCATCAAACACAATAGTGTTCCTCTTGCGATAACTTCTCGAGATGTAAAACTGCCCCTCGAAAGCTCAATTTTATTAGTGCCCCGCTCACAAAATAAAAAGTGTGCCTCTCTCATGGAAAACTGGCCTTCAATAATCAAAAATAATAGTGCTCCTCCTCACGCGAACAAAATGGTCGCTGAGCTGGCATCAAAAACAAAAGTGCCCCTCTCGCGATAAAAAAAGTGGTCTCTCTACATAACTAGTCAAATTCATAGGCGGATCCAGAGAGGGTACTGCCGGGGGCGGAGGGTGTACGGTGTGCCGAAGGCCCAAGGGTTGATCCAATGGGGGGGGGGGGGGGGGGGGGCAACTAGGCCATGCTTCCCCCCCCCAAAAAAAAAAAAAACGAACCCAATTTTTTTTTAGTGACGTCACAAACAAAAGAAGCTACTACGTACAGCACCATCTTTTCCAAAAATAAAATTGGTTAAAGTGGTCAGAAATTGCCTTAGATCGCACCACAGAGCATCAAGAAACATTTTTTTTTCGGGGCCCTTCAGCGGGACCCTAACCCCACATCGTGAATTTGTGGACCCTATTTTTGGGGACCAAATTTTTTTGTTCCCTCCCCCCCCCCCCCTCAAACTAAATTGTGTTCTGCATCCGCCATTGCGGAGGCCGAAGGGGTCTCCCTTTCATTCCGACGAAAAGTGCCCCCTTTTCTGGATAAGGCCAAAAAAAAAAAGTCTCCGGTTTCTGGTATGCGCGCGCGTCGCCGTAGCCATGCGCGTCGGCAAAATGAAAAAGTTTTTTTCATTGATGTCTCAAAACCGCCAAACTCGCTGGTTTGACTGGAATCCTGCTGCTGCACAATTTTAACGTGTTTTTAGATTGGTTTATGGTCGAGAATAAGCTTTATGTGGCCTCTCTGGAGTCCATTTGCACTAAGTTTCAACTGAGTTCAGTCGGGCACCATTTGCAGTCATCAGCCGACATTTGAAGCAAAAAAGTCAGGTAAAAAAAAAAAAAAAGCCGCGTCGCCGCACTAATTTTTGGGCAAGCTCCATACCAGAAACCGGAGACTTTTTTTGTTGGCCTAAGTGCCCCTTTTTGGTGTTGCCCCCAGGTTTGAAAAGCGTTCCGCCGCCCCTGGTACAGTATACCAACGGCATATTACATAGCACTATGTTCACTGACTGTTGCATACAAAGACTTTGATTCTTGCTGCTCTTCCAGAAATTTGAAAAAGAGGCTCTGGTCTTGAAATTAGCATCTTATAGAAAGAGGACTGAGTAGTAAAACAAGGCAAGAATTTTAGGGTTGAGCAATAGAGGTCTGATGGAGTGGATATGACAACTGATTTTTGCTAATCAAAGACTCGTATGTTTCAACCCAAATGGGAAATATCGCATCAGTGAAGTAAAATAATAGGTACTGGCTCCTTTCACAAATAAATACAATTTTGTTACCATTTTTACAAATAAGAATGTATTTTTAAACAAATTCAGATACTGATAGCCTTTTCTTTCAAAAGGGACACCGTTTGCAAAAACTGTGTTTGCCGATTAAGGGAACAAAATATATGAAGCAGGTTATCAAAAAAGCTAACCTGTCGAACTATAAATTTAAGCTCATAATACTTTTTGAGAAAATCGTGAAAGTGCATCTTCATTTTGCTGGACGCAAAGAATAGGTTTCCGATAACAACGCGATGGTCCTGACCATCGCGACAAAAAATATTGGCAACGACTCTTTCCTCGGAAACGACAGCACTCTAGGGAGTATAGGTGCATTTCACAGGACGCATGATCCTATTATTTACTTACAATCAAGCAGAGTATTTTATGATATTTTGACGGACTCATTTTGGAATATTTACAAATGGTGTCCATAAACTTCATGGAAGTGCCGAAATCCTACAGAGTTTGATTTTGTTAGAGATTTTTAAAAGAGAAATCAGCACAGGCGGTGCAGTGGCCGCCATTTTATTTTCATGGTCATGCCACAGAGAGTTGTCTGTTACCGCGGAAGAAGGTCACAGGAGTACAAGGAAATAGACATGGCTGCTGTGTATACTCGTACATGCGATACGTATTGGATACGAGCCAACCATTGCATTGTAGGGCTCAAATATAATGACCTTAATTTATCATCATGCGAGGTGTGCGTAAAGAAAATTCGTTAATTGTAGGCCTACGAAGTAACATCAGGCAACATAATGCATGGTTTTGGTAAACTTTATTATTACTAATTATAAATACACACATTGATTTTCTTAAGCAAGAAACAGAACTTCCAGTGACTGTAAAGTTCAGCTATGCACATGTCAAGAAAAGCAAGTTGGGCTTGCATGTAGACCATCGCCTCTTGTTACAGTTACAATAATACTCACCATATCCCTGCTGTTGGTAGGATTGGGGAGGCGGGTAGGCCGGCTGCTTTGTGTGGTCGTAGGCTGGTGGAGGCTCCATTTTATCCTAAAACAGTCGTGCAGTGTAGGTCGAAAGTTTCACAAGTGATCTGCCGGTATTTTTTAGGTGGACGTGTATCCAGAGTGAATGAACAGTGAGTATTGCCTGTATCTGTGCAATGCACGCAGCAGGACTCGAGACGAGACGCCTATAGTACATTCGTGCAGAACGAGTAGGATATTATGACGTTAGTCGATTCCCCCTGTGAGTGTGAAATCCATCAATACAAAAGTTCCACAAAAGTGAGGTCATGGTCAGCTGCAGAAGCCTTTCGCTGGTCACCAAGGCAAGTTATTCACTCAATAGCGCTGGTACCCGCTGATTTACATGGGCCACACTGGGCATCCAAGAAATAAGCGTTGTGCAATGTGCATGCGTCATAAAAATACAATCATTGGCGGTAGTGCGCGTGATTATTTAATAGTTATCGGACTGAACCTTCCTTTCAAAACCGTCCAGAGCATGCACGAATCAGGACGAAAATGTGAAAGTGGAACGCGGTAAAAAAAAAAAGACAATTCACTCGTCGCTTCGATCGCCCCATGAAATAATAAAAGTTGATAAAATTAATTCAAATCACGTGATTTTTAAGCGTGCATATTATAGTGAAGTGACTTGTCTTTGTTCAAATTGTTGCAGAGGGAAACAAATCCTCCTCGAGCGCATTACTCGTTTTTAACATTGGATGGGAGTTCGTTAAGCCCCGAGAGGACCCTTTCTTCCTAAACAGCACTCCCTTTTCACACTGCACAGCCAATCCCCGGGAAATAAATCCCCGGGAAATTCCCGGGGATTTTTTACCCCACCAACACCCCAGCAACCATTCACACTAGACACATTTGATAAATCCCGGGGACACTATTTCCCGGGAATATGCACGATCGTTTCACACTCGCAATCAAACCCCGGGAATTGTGCAAAAGTTTTCAGGCGGACAGTCGGCTATTAATTTCGAGAAAACTTTCAGTTTCTCGTTGATGATGACGTTGAGAAATACGCATCGAGAATTGCTACCTACCTATCTCCAGACGGACACGGAGCCGGCCCGGCGCCCGGCCAATTAACCCGCTCTTCCGAGCCGGGCCGCACCGGCGAAGTACGATGAAATGTTCCCGCATGCATTGTCGGGAGCATGCCATAAGAACAAACAGGCCTCTTTTTACTACCAATCTTATCAAATTTTTATTTTTAGCAACGACTTTGCAACGCCAAAAAATCAACTTTTCCATCGCAATTTCCTTCGGAAAACATACGGCAATTCGCCTCGCATCATATGGACGGATCATCCAATGATACCGTAACTAAAGGGGTGCTTTTAATACCCTTTTAAAAGTTTTACATCGTTTCTCGAATAAATTCTTAACAAAAATTATATTGTGATGTCGAGGAGCTTCTTTTCTAACATTGAAATATTTCGAACTTCATAAAGAGAATTTTGTATAATTTTGGAAATGCTGGTAAATATTCTTTAAAAAAAAAAGAATATGGTACACCCCTAAAGTAAATGGTGTGATCTACATTGGTGACGCAGTACTGCAGCTCATCACATGCGTCGAAGAAATTTTCATGGAAAATGCATGTACACGTACGTTGTTGGATGACAGTTGTCTGTTTTGGAGGATAAAAGTGGGTGAGATTTTCCAGGCGCAGCGTACGCGAATTAGTTGGGAGTCTTTCAGTTGGAAAATTATCATGGATAATGCCTACATGTTCGTTCAAACGTTGCTGGAAAATGGTTATGTTTTGAGGATAAAAGTTGCATTTCCAGGCGCTGCGAACTGAAGTTGTGAGTATTTCAGTCACGCGACAGCCCGATCGACAACTGAACACCGTTTGCATTGCGATTTATTTCCAAAAGTTCGGAGCACTTGAATATTGTGTCGCAAAATGCGATCGATACAGGGGGAAAAAAAGGTGGGGTAAGTTCAAACCCGCCGACGTTCACACTAGTTGCTTTTCCCCAGGAAATACGTAAAACCCCGGGGATTTCTCCTTTAACCCTACTCCCGAGCAGGGGTAAACAATTCCCGGGGAAAAGCTTTTCCCCGGGAATTCCCCGGGGATTTTTTTGTAGTGTGAACAGACCGACCGAAATTCCCCGGCAATTTCCCGGGGAATTGCCGGGGAATTCGTCTAGTGTGAAAGTGTAAACTCAACATCAAAAACCTGGGCAACATAAAAATGTGTAAACCATATTCATACATACTAGGGATGGTGTTGTACTCCATGACCCAATTTCGCATAAATGACTTCGTGGAGGGTTTAGGCAAACAAAAAAAGTCTCCGGTTTCTGGTATGCGCGCGCGTCGCCGTAGCCATGCGCGTCGGCAATTTTTTTTTTTTCAATGTAAGATGATGTCTCAAAACCGCCAAACTCACAGGTTTGACTGGAATCCTGCTGCTGCACAATTTTAACGTGTTTTAGATGGGGTTACGATCGAGTATAAGCTTTATGTGGCCTCTCTGGACTCCCATATATTTGCACTAAATTTAGTCGGGCACCATTTGCAGTCATCAGCCGACATTTGAAGAAAAGAAAACGTTAAAAAAACAAGCCGCCTCGCCGCACCACTTTTGGGGCAAGCTCCATACCAGAAACCGGAGACTTTTTTTTGGCCTTATCCTTTCTTTTTTTTCAAATGGCGATGGGCTTATGGGCTGCTTTTAGGGGTGATCATTTCGGAGGGAAATATTATTCATGGAGCGCTTTTCACATGTATTTGCCAGGAGTGTATAAGGGATCATGCCCAAATTCACGGCGCTATAGAAACACTATATGCTGCAAACCTGGGAAATAGCAAACCGCTATCACTCCGGAAGGATACGTAGCTTTTACATTACAACTCGTCAAATAAAGCACAAGGAAGACTGGCTACGTTTATGTTTGAATCGTTTTATTTTTGCTAACAAAACCCAAATTCTTTGGCAAAATGCACACGGTTGAAGCCTTTCAAGCCCTGGTGCTTTACGATAAAATACTCTAGTTGACCGCTATAATCAAACTATAATCAAACAATGTCAGAACTCGGGAAACAATTCTCTTTCACCAACGTTTTAAGTGGCTTACTCTTGAATAATTATGTGATTTTCCAAATCACAATGATAAGACTTTTACACTTCCGTCTGCTTTATTTTGTAGAATCTAAATTTTCTTTCATTTAAATTAGTTTTCACGAAAAAAATCTTTTCATAAAAAAACTAGCCTACCTTTGAGAGCATTCCGTTGATTCTCATATTAGTTCTTTTTAAACTCAGAATCATGTTTGAAATCTTATACATGCCCATTGAATTGCAACTTAACAAGGTATTCGTAAATACCTTAGAGAGTTTACCCATTCCTATTGGTGGCTGGTCTTAAACGGTTGATAAAACACTGGCTGGCGAGTCTTCAACACTATTCCAGTGTCACATGAAATTTGGACTCCTATGAAATCCCCTGCCTGTTACCGTTTAATTGGTTGAAAGTTCACAATCGTCGGTTAGGCATGCACAATACTACCAATGTGTCCGTATTTCAAAGACCTTAATTCACACTACACCGGCACAGCTGCGTTCTGCGTAACTTCGCGCAGTACGCGCGACACGCGCGCCAATCTCCATATAAGGAGTTGTCTACGACTACTAGCAAGAGGGACATACCATAACATCGCTAGAGGGGTGTTTCGAAAAGTAAATTTGTTGAACAAAATCGTTGTAAATTTATAATGTTTGACTTGTTTTGACTTCTTGACCCTCGCCTTCGGCTCGGTTCATTATCACCGTCCAGACGCCAAACCGGCCTTAAACATAGTGTTTAATACCTGCCAAGCACACATTTATTCCCTGAAGCAATCCTTCAGATGCACAAATAGAACGGGTCCCAAGACGTCATGCCGGCATGTTGTCAACAGGCAACACGGCCACCCTGAAGTAAATTTTTTTAAAAGCCACACATAAAAGAGTGATAAACGCCAGATTTGATTTTCCCTGTTAATTTCGGCTTATGTGCCCGCAATATACGCATTTTTGTAAACAAACGAGACGTGGTCTACACATAAGGTACGACGTGTGTTGAATTTAACCGAAGCTGATCAATTTATGAAATGTAACATGAATACAATAAACATCAGTTTAAAAAAAATCATGCAATATTCATTTACCAAGCTCAATAATTTTACAAACTATACACAATCAAATCACATTGTGTATTTTTTACTGTTCAAACAGAATACACACAAAACAATTGTTGACTTTTTAAAATGTATGAATCAAAATAATGAGCATTAACACAAATAGCACATTTTACCTTAAAGGGCCATGCTATGTATTTTTTTTTAATACACTCCTTGAAAATTCATCTTGTCTCATTTAACCTTATTTTCAATTTTTGGTTAGCCATTTTGAAGGATATAGTTTTTATGCTAGTGCATATTATTATATTCATGAGCAAAACTGTGATGTCATTCCGGTCATGGCAGAAACCTCAATGTTACAGCTATTTCAGTACAAAAAGTTGCTAGAGTTTTGGATATTTTGCTGTCGTAAATTTTCTTTTCCTTGGTGATTCGTTGTTTTGTAAGGACATGGCAGTAAGCCAGTAAGCAATCCTTTCTCACAAATGTTTTCAATGAGCTAATTTTTGGGTTCACACTTTGAACAGAAACCCCTAAATTTAACAGGGTCTTCCTGGAACGACATCACAGCAACAGTGCCCTCACTTGTCCGGGAAAGCATGGATATTCTAACTGTTTAAACTTTGCAATAAAATTAACCAAAAAGGAATGTCAAATAGTTTTTGTACATTGAAGAGGAGTAGAGAGTTGCTCAAAATGTGTTCTCAGAAAAGTTCATCGTATGAACCCTTTAATAATACGCAGAGACGTAATATAAAATATAGGCCCACTGATATTTATAATAAGCTGGTCCTCGTTCACCAGTTAAAAATATAGTCAATAAAAGCGCAAAGAAATTAGACAGTATTCCCACAATTAGTGCATTTCCACTCCGTCATCATGAGACAGAATAAGATTCCGAGTGGGAAGAAGATGACGGCTAGGAGAAAGCCTACCTTACTAAACCGCTCCCTGAGCACTCCGCTGTGACACATCGGGCAATGGATGGAGGGTTTGGGCCGGACCTCACCGATTAGTAAGGAATCGTTGGGCGGTGTTGGATCTTCCTGCTGTTGCTGCTGCTGCTTATGTTCTTCTTGTTGTTTTTGTTGCTGCTGCTGCTGCTGTTGTTGTTGCTGCTGCTGCTGCTGCTGCGACGGAATCAAGATTTGGCTTTCACTAGCTGATGGGTAAGTATGCAGCTGCAGCTGCTGCTGTTGCTGCTGTCGCTGCTGTTGTTGCTGCTGTTGTTGCTTGTGCTGCGAAGTGATCAAGATCTGGCTTTCACTATCTGATGAGTAAGTCTGGTGCTGCTGCTGCTGCTGCTGCTCGTAACTAATACAGTTTTGGCTTCCTCCGTCATTTTGGTAAGTCTGAAGCTGCTGTAGTTGTTGCTGCTGTTGTTGCTGCTGTTGTTGCTGCTGCGCGTAACTGAGGGAGTTTCGGTGTCCTCCATCTAGTTGGTAAGTCTGGAGCTGCTGTGTCTGCTGCTGATGTGGATTAAATGCTTGGTGTACCTGCTCCGGTTGTTGGTAGCCCTGCAGCTGCAAATGATGCTGCTGCTGCTGCTGTTGCAGCTGAGCCTGGTGTTGCTGCTGCATTTGTTGGTGATGGGAATCAATGTTCATTCACATCTGTGGAATGATCGAGGAAAATGGCGCAATAAAAAAATGCCTTGTCGCACAGCATAAATGGTACTTATCGTTTAGAAAAATCCTCTCAACAAAAGGGGTGAAAACCTTCACAGTAGTGTTCATTTTTTAATGGAGCGGGCAATTGGGTGGATGTGATTTTTATATATCAGATTTTACAACAGTGATTGTGTCACAAACCGAAAGTCACATCCTCTATAGCGTAGACGTCAGAGACTTTTGCGAGCGTTTATTTTCCAATAGTTTTCATAATGAAATTCAACACAAATCATCACAAAAACTCGCTCAAGCTCTGTAAATGTGATTTTTACTTACGAATTCCCCGCAACGGCTGGTATAGTGGGCAGTAGGTTGTTGCATTTCTCTGTATAAGATGCGTGCCCTATATCGTGTTCAATTTGCGAGATGCATACATTTACACATCACCGGAGTGAATTATTTATGCTAGCCCGCCTGTGCAAAGTTAATATTGCACTATTCTTTGGCAAGTCTGTATCATGCCTTCACTCTATTCTCGTTCTGTCTCGGGAATTGTGTTTTCGTCTATTTCGCGTGAAATGTACCGAGGCAGACTTCAAAAGACAGCGGTTTCGATCAATACTTGCATTGTGCAGCGGCTGATGTATTTGCAGTGAACTTTGGAATCTGTCTGTCATTGGATTACACTTGCTATATTCTTTGACGTATACAATGTGGGAACATTTTCCCACCTTCATAAATATATGTTGTGTGTATTGATAACACACTGCTCTGGGGTTATATTTGCTGGTCATGTTTGTACCTTACTGACTGAATGAACTGACTGAATGACTCACTGACTGTACTTTGGGAATTAGACTTGTAAAAGTCTCACCTTGGCGCAAAACCTTCACTTTCACTGGTCCCGGAGGGTCAGCCTACAATCCTCTTCGTACCTATCTCATGGACTGACTGACTGACTGACTGTCTCCCGTAACTTGATAATTGGATTTGCATAAGTCTTACCTTGGTCCAAAACATGACTTTGCTGATTCCCGATGACCAAATTACAGTCCTATTCTGACTGGCTGACTCAGTGAATTTAACCTGTGAGTTAGACTTGCATCAGCCTCACCCTGCCCCCCCCCCCCCGAAAAGCCTCATTTTGTCCAACTAGACCCATCGCTTGCCTGGTCTTGTCTTGTGGTTGGCTAAAGCGGGGTCATTTGGATTCAATCACAAACGTTAGTGAATACTAAAGCGCCCAATGGATGTTAGCGAGACTCTACATATAACTCGATGGATTGTGGTGTGTTATAAATATGCATGTTGACTGGTATTCAAAGGTCCCTATTTCCCTCTGCCAACCAGCGGCGTAGGTACAGTGGGGTTTTAAAAAAAAATGCATTTTTCACATTTGAAATTTATTTTTGGCGAAAACCCTGTTTTTCGGGATTGGCTGTTTATCCTGTGGAATGCGTACATGATCATGACTTCAGTTTTGAACAGCGCCCCCATTGAAAGATGGCGTCAAGTCCCCCCCCCCCCCCCACACACACACACGCATAAAAGTGGGGTACTTCCTTTGTTCTCGTGTACTGAAATTTTGCAATGTCGCGCACTAGTTTCTAAATGCTCTTATTTTAACCAGAATTAATTTCCTGGGCTGAATTTCGGACTTAATATCCCTTTTCTAAAACTCTTCCATTTGCGACTGATCAACCCACCTTGGAAATTCCTAGTTTTTGAGTAAAATCCGTATATCTATTTCGTGAAAAACTTGTGGGGTACCAAAACGGTACCCCGCAAGTCGGTGGGCATTCCTTGTGGGGTACCTCCCATTGTTCCGGTACCCCACAAGTCAGTGTTTATACGTTCACCCAAGTGCGTATTTGCCTGCAATCGGGGACCCCCTATTGTCCCTTTTGTTTGTACTTTTTTTCGGAAGACCTCTCATATGTTGTGTACACGAATTCAAATTTGGGACCCTATTGTCCTCTATTGTTCAACGTCCCCTATTGAATGCAGCAGCAAACTCACACGCACTATTTGATTTTGAGGAGGCAGGGTGTCCGGTGGAGAAAAAAAAATGTCTACCTTAGAGCACGGGGGATTTGGGAGGGGCGAAGCAAAACTAATATCTACTGACGGACCACATTGGGCACTAACGAAGCCAAAACTGTCTCACGGCTTACATAACCGTGGGAGTTTCAAAAGGCGTGGGGAGCAGGTATTTGACGATGCATTTGACGAAAATGAAGCTGAAAGAGTAACCCAGTGTTTTCACACAGTTCAGAGACACGAAAATTTGCACAAAACATGCGTTAATGTGAAATGTATTTCAAGGCCCCTTCAACAATGACATACTTCTATAGCCATACAAATTGGAAACGCATTGTTTTAATCTGCTACATTTGGTATATGATAAAGGCAAAATGCAATGGGATCTATAAAGTTATTAATAAAGACTTATATATATTGCTTTTGTTAGTAGAAAAGTCATGGTAAATTGCTGTAAGTATATCCCAAATATTTTGATGAATTTGTAGATGAAAGAATACGATAATTAAATTTATTATAATGTTCATTTTAATATATATTAAACTATTATTACATCTTCCTTTAATACAAAAAAAATATTGACATTTTTGCTCCATAGTACTTTTGGTTGCACATAGTTAACACTAAAAAATCTGACTAAGTATATTCAGCACATAAACGATCTGATATTTTGTGTAAAATATTTAATATGGTAATTCTGCATAGCATATGTGACTTTAATGTGCAGTTGACTTTACAAAGTATAGAAATATAACAGTAATTTATAAGCACAATTGGCACTATTTTGGTTACTTTTAATTTGTAGGCCAAGATCAATGATGATGTCTGCTCCCATTCATTGACGGAACCCTGACATCAGACATACGCAGGTGGGTAAAATGTGATTATAAAAATAATATGAAAACTGAGAAGACTATAAGAAGACTATTCAAGACTGAATAACAGCATTGTTATCGGCAGATCCATATTTTACAGTACTGATGCAACAAATACACATCCCCACCATTTAACCTTTCGAGTTAAACCATTGCTTAGAATTTATACTTAGAATCAAAGACTAAAATGGATTTGTTCAATTTCGTTTCCAGGAAAATGTGTTCGTCTCTTGACAACGGGTGAAATGAGTTCAGAGAATGGTCGAATCTAGCCTCAGGATTTTAATAATTTTGCTGCTCCAAGATGACCAGCCTAGTGATCTCTTTGTACATAATTATCTCACTGATTGACTAAGCGATTGACTGACTGTCGCTTTTGACTTAGATTGGTCACAGACTGGTGAAGAGAGCCGGGCAGTGCTGTTGTATAGGATTACCATGTCACTTTAACGAATGGGCTAAATCAGGCATATTGTTTAGACCAGATGCATGAAGAGGCTTCAAGTAAACAGCCATTATATGAATCAAATGAATAGAATTTGGTGTGTGTTGGGATCAGTTTTACTGGGTTTGCCTTTTCTTTTGTATATACGTATATAACATGTAATATATAACAGACAACATACAGCGCGTCCCAAAATACCCGCAACATTTTTTGCGAGGCTCTAGCGTCGCCGCAGAAACACGTAACGCCATTATTTTTATATCATTTTTAAAGCTTAGAAATTTAACTTTATCCCTGGTAAGTATTGGTTTGATTTTCAAAAGGAGTTTGAAATTATTCGTGTTCAAATAAAGGCATGTCGAAAACAAACTCCACCGATTTCAAGGAAAATCAATCATGCGCATTAATTATTTTTAATGTGGAAATGCTCCATCATGTTCATGATGTGACGATCTCGTTGCCTTTTACTTTCTGTGTTTCCTTTTTTTTTCGATCCACGTATCGACTACGACTTAAATAAATTCCCAATATTGTTCATCGTTTCAAGTTCAATGTGTTTTAATATAAATCAACTGTTTTTTTGTTTTGTTTTTTCAACAGCTCGTAGACTGGAGTTTGCATCTGATGTACCGCATCATCGATTTTCCTTGAAATCGGTTGAGTTTGTTTTCAACATGGCTGTATTTGAACACGAATAATATAATATATAATCTATATAATCTACAATATATATCAAACCAATACTCGGCAGGGATAAAGTTAAATTTCCAAGCTTTGAAATGGTATAAAAATAATGGCGGTACGTGTTTCCGCGCCGACGCTAGAGCAGCGCCAAAAAACAGTGGCGGGTATTTTTGGACACGCTGCATAATCTCTATACTGTAAAAACACCTAGTTTGATTTGACTAGGAAACGGTCAACCTTGTACCCAGCTGCCTACAGCTAGGGTCAGCTAGGAGCATGTTTGGCTGTTTTCTAGTCAAATTTAACTAGAATGTTTTCAGTGTATAATCATCTGATATAATTATTGAACTATACTGTTAACCCACAATTTGAGCACCTCCTCTCCCTCATCAGCAAGCAGAATATGACACCACAGGGGAAGCAGAAAATAGCAAGCAAGATGCCGAGGAGACTGAACTGCTGGGACAGGACACCGGAGTGGCACTGCGGGCAGTTGCTGACCAAGGGCTGGTACTGGGGCTGGGTCACCTTCACCGTGCGCTGGGGCGTTTCGGCCGGGAAGTGGAGCTCTTGTTGACCGGGATGCTGCTGCTGATGCTGCTGCTGCTGCTGCTGTGGATAGTGCTGCTGCTCTCTGTACTGCTCCTGCTGTTGTTGGTACTGCTGCTGTTGTGAAGCATGTTGGTGTCGCTGACCTGGCTCTTGCTGCTGCTGGTACGCTGGGTCTGTGGCTGGTTGGGCCTGTGGCTGGTAGTGCTGCTGCGGTTGATGAAGTTGAGCCTGGTGCTGCTGCTGTGGTGGATAGTGTTGTTGTTGCTGCTGCATCTGTTGATACGGCTGTTGCTGTTGTTGCTGTTGGCCTGGTAGGTAAACAGTGGTGGAATGGCAATAAAAATATAGTTCATTTTAAAGGTATTTGAGTTGGAGAATATATTCAGTTTAGTGTTGCATTTTTGCTGGTTCCAGATGGCCATCATACAGTCATCTTTGTACCTATATCGCACTGACTGAATCAAGTACTGACTCACTGACTTTCACTTGTGAATTAGACTTGCTTAAGCCGCACCTTAACCCTTAGGTTTGAAGGGTAAGACGTGCCCAGTAACCCCAATAAAAAGGCTCAATGTAGCCAAATGTGTAGGTCACACGCATAAAGATACTTCAAGAGACAGGCAATAGACATCAACAGTTTTAAGCTTCTGTTCTGGTGGCTCAAACTCCCGCCGACGGATACGGGGAATGACGACCATGATGTCCAAGATGATAATGATATTGATATATATTGATAAAAAAATATGAGAATTTACTTTTTAATTGGAAACAAACAAAAAAACTGAAAGCGATCTTCAATGTCAACTATTCTCCTTCTTCTTGCGTGTGGTCTTCCTAGTTAGGAAAGGTAGCTGTCTTGAGCCAGGTCTATGCTGCAGGAGTGAGGTATTCTTTTCTTTTTTATATTCATTTTTCCCTGACTTTTGGTTTTAACAAAAATGTTCCTGTTATATCAAAGAAGAGAAATTGTAATTGAAGTACTTTCTGTGCTTTCTATGCATGGAATCAGTGTTTTTACATCGTAATAAGAAACAAGTGCGAGTGCAATATAAGCTCTGGCCGTGTGGAAAGAAGTTTTGCATGAAAGTCTTGCATGAAATCGATCAAATTGATCCCTGCCAGAGCTGAAATATGCGACGCCAAAAATGCAACGTCGATGGCACATATGGAACACCACACTTTTGGTCTCTTTTCCGGGGGCAGACAAACAGACAGACCGACCGACCGACCGACAGACCACCACGTGACATGTAGAAGCTTCTGCCACAGCTTAAAAAGTCAAGAATGCATAGCTCCAAATAACATGATTCCTGATTGCCTATCCGGGTCAGAGGGCACTTTGTTTTTCTTTATTTTGGCCTATCATGAAACTCAAAACGAAACAGAAAGCAATGCGCTGACGTGCAAACAGTGACGAACTATCACGTATGCACTATCAGTTATACTCTGTATACTATGTGTCCAAAATAAACAATGGGTGGTTATTATACGTCTGAATTTATCATGTACGATGCGCAGTGAACTGATTTGATTATTTCTTATTTAAAGGGAAAATACAACATTTGCAAACATCAAAAAATAAAACTACCAAATCATTTTGAAATACCTTGCTGGACTGTTAGTGAATGACAGTGTAAAGCATCCTGTAAAATCATGGCACCTGGTATACTGTCATTTTCAAGAAAAGTGGTATTTTTGTATCAATTTCCAACGCTGGTCGGCCGACCAGCGTTGTGAAAAAAAACTGGCTTTTTTTCAAATACTGGCCCCAATTGACCATCGCACTTGTTTGCAATCGATTACACACCTATGAACGGGTACAAGCCAGCTAGACTGGTTCCTTGACCTTACAATTCCCCAATGTAGGTAAACTGCTCTGTTTCTTCTTATATGGAGTCAGGGAACCAGACTACAGGAAAATGATTGTTTTTCTTGGTTTTTATAGCATTTTCGAACCCAAAACCTCAAAAAAGTCAGTGTAACTATATTTGCTATATATTTCCAACCCCCCAATTCCATTTATTTCTAAAAATTACAGCAAAAGCAAATGATGTATATTCCCTTTAAAGGGAATAAAAAATTAAACACAATTTGCAAACATCAAAAAAAAACCTACCAAACTTATTATGAAATACCTTACTGGACTGTTAGTAAATGACAATCTAAAGCATCCTGTAAAATCACTGTTGCACCTGGTGTACAGTAATTTTCAAGAAAAGTAGTATTTTTGTATCACTTTCCAACGCTGGTCGTCCGAGCAGCATAGAAAAACTGGCTTTTTTTTCAAATACTGCCCTGATTTACCATATTTAGTTAGTCTGCATTTTGTTTGCAATCGATTATACACCTATAAACGGGTACAAGCCAGCAAGACTGGTTCCTATACCTTACAATTCCCCGACGTCCATAAATTCCATCTTAAGTGGGGTTAGGGGACCAGACTACTGGAACAAGATTGATTTTCTTGGTTTTTCAAGCATCTACGAACTTAAAACCTAAAACAAGTAAGTGTAACAATATTTGCTATGAAATACTAACACCCATATCCATCCATTTTTGAAAATTACAGCAAAAGCAAAGTTGTATATTCCCTTTAAAAATACCAACTGTTAGATAACGTTTGTTTGTATAAAGTAGCGATTTGTTTTCATTTCGTCCGATCTAAAATGATGTGAAGTTGATTTTCTTTCTTTCTTTATTGAAGTGTATTCCAATGTTGTCGATTTTTACATCAATAAAAAGGGCAGATCATTAGCGCATATAAGGTAAACCTCGACATGCAAGTACCTTTTTTTATGCAGGATAAAGCAGTCATTTATGAAGGAAGTATATACAATTATATAGCTCCTTCTAGTTCTTAACCAATCGCAAAAAAAGACTTGGAAAGCCTATAGTGTAGCTGGTCAGAGAACACACAGTTTTCTAGAATCTCTACAATGTAGGCAGAATGAGCTTTAGTGATAACGTGGTGGAAATAGGTAACCAGTCAGGGAGATAGTTTTAACGAGTTTAATTCACAAGTGACAGTCATGAGAGTCTGAGTGAGTCAAACAGTCGGTCAGTCAGGTGCAAGGAGGACTGTAGGATAGTGTTGTGCAAACCCGACCCGGACCCGAAACCGACTTCAGGTCGGGTCGGGTCAGTTTGTCCATCATTTCAGTCGGGTTGGGTAAGTTAAGGCACAAAAAGCAGGCACAGTTGCCCAAGCCAGATATTCGGGGTTTTCGGGTCGGGTCGGCTCGGTTCGGGTCGGTTTTCCTTGAATCTTTGTCGGGTCGGGTCACGTCGGCTTTAGGGAGTTCAATTCGATTTCGGTTCGGATTTGCTTTTTGTCCACAATGTTTCGGTCGGTTTGGCCTGGTCAACCCGACGGCCGACCGGATGCACAACACTACAATGTAGGCAGAATGAGCTGTAGTGATAACGTGACAGACATAGGTAACGAGTCAGTGCGATATGTAACCAGTTTAATTCACAAGTGAGAATCAGTCTGTCAGAGCGAAGCACTTTAATACACAAGTGACAGTCACTGGTTTAAATGAAAATAGCGAAATAATGCTGAGAAAATGAAAATAGTGTAAAAGCTTTTTTTAATGGCGCACATGCAAAAACATGATTTCACTTACTATTTGCTGCAGGCAGAACAGGCTGGGGCTGGTTCATAACGGGAGCAGCTTGGCCAGGGCGCCATTGTGAGGAAGGGTCCGGGGGAACTCCTTCGGGTCCTTGCCCGGGCCGGACTGCTTGAGTACCAGGGGGCGGAGCGTTACCTCCCGGCATCTGTGCCCCTTGAGGGGTTGACTGAAACACAGGCGGCCTGTCCAGGGAACCATGGCTCCCCGGGCCCTGTTCCTGCGGGTGAACAGTGGGTGGTTGTTGCGGGACAACTCCGGGCGTGTTTATCTGCGGTCCCGGTGAGGGCTCACCAAGCGTGACTCCCGATGTCTCTTGCTTTGCTCCAGGGTCTAGCTCAGACAATCCATCTTGCTGTGCTGTTAAACCTTCAGACGGTGGCCCGGGTAAAGGTTGGCCGGCTGGCTCCTGGTCTTCCTCCGGTTGATTGTCCCCGGTCGTTGTCCCCTCTCCCTGAGCGGGATCGTCACTGTAAGGCTCGGGGGCAGTCAACGGGGACCGTTCGTCATCAGTGCCCAGGCCGTCCATACTTTCTGCCCGTCCTGCGGATCTAGCAATATACACCGCAGCAGGTCTTTGCATATATTAGTGGGCGGAAACCTCCGGTAACAACAGTGCACTACACCGGTTCACGTATTACAGTAACTCCAACATGCATGCCTAGTGACTTCGGTGGTAACACACTTGAACTGTGAACTGTGACGAACTTCTACGTGATCATTGTATCGGAGCTGTTTACTCAACCACAGTTTCCAATGAACACATACATGTACTTTCGCATTTGATCGCTCTGTTTCCGCATTCAGTGTATAATGTGCAACCGTGCGGTGTTACTTTGCAAGCCACCGATTGCTAATGGCATTTAGTTGACACAATCGCGTTCATTTTCCATTTCGAATTTTTGTTCGATATACGGAGTCCCTAAAAGAGAATTGGAAAATAAAGGTTTAAGTCGTTGCCACTGTTTCTTACTGTAAGTTGTATATTCCCATGTCCTTTTAAGGACTCTGTAGTTCAAAGATCAAGGGTAGATAGGGGGGAAAAAACAACAAAACGCAACCACTTATAACCAACCAAACAAACAAATTTCAAGCAAAGCACAAGTCCAATCTAAATCCCTTTATTATAATCAATTCGTCGATGTTTTTATTCCACTTAAAAAAATCTTTCAACTGCAGTCCACATTTATCAGTTGTTTCGAATCACGACAAACTGCATTTATCCATATCACTGGTCCATTATATATGCCGTACATGATTAAAAAAAACTTAAAATTTGACACATTAATTCGTATCAGATCCTATTTCACAAAACGTAATATTTGGTTAGAATTTCCAAACCAACTGTCCAACTCAACAACATTATAAGACCTTGATGTTTTTTGATTTCACATTTGGGGCTATAAATTTGTCATCTATAATCTACAGGTTCTCTTTTTCCTCCTTTGTTAAAAACAAGGCATATTGAAAAAATATTGAATTATAAGATCAAAGCTTTTTTTTCCTGAAAGTATTGATGACAATTCTTATAGAAAACTCTGTGGAACGTTCAATTACATCTATAAAATATGACCATTCCAGGAAGGTATAATCAGATTCCTCCTGTTTCCCAAAATGTCCAAAGTTTCCGACCACATTTCCGTGGCAATTATATAGGCCTAGCTATGGCTCCGGTGTTTCAGGGTTAGAACGGTTGTATTTTCAGCAAAAAAACTCCAATGTTTGTTTTCAATTCTGAAAATTTTGAATTCATTTAATCAAAACTCGCATTTGTGAAATGTTGATGACAAGCGTAATGCCTTGTGTAAAGGCTATCGTTTTGCCTCGGGTACGGTTTCGAACGAGGGCAGAGCTGTGCTGCGTCACATTGGCGGCTACAAAACTTATTAGAGACCTGATCTATTAAGAGACGTCAGGACATAGTCATGTCAGGGAACCAGACTTCTGATTCTCTACTGTTTTCATTTACTTGCCAACAACACATGATCACGTGCGAACGCTGAAATCTTGAACACAGCATAAACCGCTATAAGTGCACTCTTTAAAATTGTCATGCAGAGCAGACCAATTTGACCCGGGTCGGGTCGGATTTAACCTGTCACTTATTCGGGTCAAATGACACTTTTCGGTGTCACTTTTCTAGGCCATTTGACTAGGGAAAATGTCTTGTTGTTTTTACGCTAGAAATATCATTTTGATCCAGTAGAAGATACAGTTCAAATCCGATCCGGTTTCGGGTCCAACTTGACCTGGGACTTGATGTGTGTATTAAAAGTCCCGGTGTTGACCTGCGCTGTTTAGCTGAATGTTGCCCGGCAGTTGGTGCACACCCTCTCCCTCATTGCCAAGCAGCAGAACACGCCCAGCGGGAAAAAGAAAATGGCCAGTAGTACACCGCACAGTGGGATATGCTCTTGTAGGACTCCTGAACGACACGTAGGACATGTGCTGACCATGACGACCTGATGGGTGGTGGCAGGTTGTGGCACGGTGGTGGTTGTCACTGTCACTTGAGCCGGTTGGGCTGGTTGGCCGGCTGGATAGGCCGCTATATTAGACAAAGAAGAGACAATTAATTATTAAAACAGGTTTTCACAGTCTAAGTCCAAGACTTGGACTTGGATTTGGGTTAAACTTTTCCCCAAATACAGCCGCTCCTGATCTCTGGCAAACCCGATAGAGTCGCCGCATCGGTAGAGAGCGTTATAAAAAAGAAGAAGAAGGAATCAAAATCCAGTCTTTGGAATGTTGGCACTCGGAACGGAGACATTGTGTTGTTGACAGCGCCTCTTGTTGGAACATGGTTTCTGTCAGACTTGTATATTCGAGTCACCAAACATCGAGTCCGAGTCCGAGTCACTACTCCCGAGTCCGAGTCCAAGTCCCAAGTCATGCAGGTCGAGTCCGAGTCACGAGTCACAAAGGCCGAGCCCGAGTCTGAGGCACGAGTCACCTTTTAATATATACAGTCGAACACCTTTATAACAAGGTCCCCGGGACTTTACAAATTACCTTGTTATAACAGGTACCTTGTATTAACAGTAATGGAACTCAAAGACAAACAAAGACTTGGGAACTAAAATGTTGCTTGTTATATGCAGGATGTTGAATTAACAGTGCTGTTTACATCATAGTTCGACTGTATATTGGAAATAAATTTATGAGGTACTGCTAAAACCTCAATGTGTAAATGTTTCAATTTTTATAGCTTTTTTCTAAATTAATGAAACTGGAAATTCAATATATCGTATGTCAAGCTTGCATTTACGCAATATCAAGTGTGGACGCTGGGGTACCGTTTTCATACATTGGTTTCCCAAATCGGAAACAAGTTAGCCTTTACGTGCTGTGTCTGTACATTAGATGCGTTTCTTCTGTATCGCTTACACAGAAGCGGATCTTCTTCAAAATATTTTGTACAGTAATGGTTGAAGGCAATAAGTGATTTGTGGTAATTTTGGTCGAGTCCCGAGACACGCAGGTTGGCATGTCAGAGTCCAAGTCCAAGTCCGAGTCCGCAGGGTCGAGTCCGAGTCCGAGTCCGAGTCCGAGTCAAAGTGTCATCGTGACTCGAGTCCGAGTCCGAATCAAGGAAAGTGGGACTCGAGTAGGACTGGAGTCCAGGCCGAGTCACGAGTTATACAAGTACAAGTCTGGTTTCTGTTTGTATTTGCCTAAATACACACCTTACAATTCCCATTTCGTTTACTTTTATAGGTAGAACACTTTAACTGCATAACACAAAGAACTCCAAATGTCAACACCGTACGGATTCTTTTTTACAAAAATCCTGAAATCAGTAAAAAAAAAAAAAAAAAATCCAGACAAACATCATGAAATCGGGAAAATTGCAAATCTCTCCTCTTATAAAAAAAAATTTAAAAAATAATCGTTGCTGTTAAGTTTACTGCTGTCGGTATTAGCATTCAGCCAGAGTTTTACGACATATCAAAACTTTTCCATTCAGAAAAAGCTATTATACTATTAGTCTTGACCAACACACTTTGGTAAAATCAAAATCGAAAATGATACTCACGGTAATTCATCGGAGGCGGGTAGGCATTGCTCTGAGCCGGCGGTGGGTAGGCCGCATTCTGCGGCGGTGGATAGCCGGCAGGTTGTGGGTAAGCGCCCGGGTTGTTCTCTCCGCTGGGCGGGTAGGTCCATGACGGGTTGTATGGGGGCGGCTCGGCCGGGGCTGGCGCGCTATCCATCGGCTTAGGCTCCATAGGTAATGACTCAAAGGTTGAAGCAGACTCAAGAAAGTATATCAGCTATTCGATAATATGACTCAAGTAGTGTGCTCTCTTTTAATGATTATTGGTGAGGAAACATTTGGGCGTTATGGCGTCTATATTGGACTTTGATCTGTCCAAAGCAAACGAACATTTCAGCCTTTCCAAATACGTTACGTAATGGTCAGTAAGATTAAGATAATAAGCAATAATATCTCGTGTAATTATTTACTAACACACTGACGTCACATGAGGCTTAACACATGCTGAATATAGGACGAAAATAAGAGGGCAAGCTTAATAAGCTTCTGGGAACGCCCCCTTTGTTGTATTAGCGCGTAAATCCGAGGGGTAGGTGAATTACTCTTTTTGATGGGCCATTGTCTAATCCCCCACTCACTTTTTCTGGTGAGCAACTGCAAAGAAGCCGATGCACCAATTAAATAATTAAATGTAAAATACGAAAAAGCCAAACAAAATGCAAAGAGTTGAACTAGCGTTCGTGAAACAACACCAGACATGTTGCAAATGTCTCTTGATACGGGTCTGAGCAGTATTATGAAAGCACCACATTTGTGTCAAATTTTGTTCAGCCCATACGCCCCCCCCCCCCCCACTTTTTCGCATTTGCAACGTCTGACAAAATCTAAGAATTTGAAGACGTCATCCCCCCTCCCAGCGGCGTAGCCAGGGCTCTCATTCTAGGGGGCGTGTGGGAGGGCTTGAGGTTACAATGGAGGGGCACCCAAAAATGCTAAAAAGGTAGAAAGGTTTTTTTTGCACCGGACACCCGTTCTCCATACAATTAAATTGTGGGGGTGTGGGGGGAGGCTGGACACCATCTTCCCATGGGGGCGCTGTTCAAAACGAGCTTTGGTGAAGAATACGAACAAAATCGCAGAAAATATAGCACTCTATGTTCTTTCAGCTAATCATGGTAATTCAGATGGCTGTGCTTTTCGTGCACCCCGATCCCCACGCCCACCCGTAACTACGCCGCTGCCCCCTCCCCGACGTCGACAAGGATTTACGCCACTTTTTGCAGTCTACCCTCCTCTTTTTAAATCTGAGTAAATTATATTGGCATTAATAGGAGACGGTATATGAATTGAACTGTATTTAAATGTAGTTCAATTGGGTCAAACTCAGCAACATCATTTCCTGTGTAAACGGTTATTCTGTGCCCCCTGGTAAAATGTTCCCCTGGAGTAAAATGTTCCCCTGGACAGATTTATCGGATCGTTACCTGGTGAATCTGTCCGGGGGACACCTTTACATAGGTAAATCGGAGTTATTAGCAATAATAGGAGACGCCATATGAAAGAACTGTATTTAAATATCGATTGGTTTCACATTGAGGTAAGAGACCAAATTAAATTTTCATTCGGAAATCTTCATGAAGGGCACAAAAGTACCAAATGTTTATCCTGTAGAATGAATTCATCAAAACAACATAGGGAATTGGCCTTCTGCGTGGCAAAACTATAGGGGGAGAAAAAAATGGAGGTGACAGAATTACCTTGAGGGGGACAGAATGAACGGCCGGGAAGGACACTTACCCTAGGTAATTCTGTCCTCGGACATTTTACCAGGGAAAGAATTACCGTCTACATCTACATCTGCGTTTTGTATAACAGGCGTTTGATAATAGTTAACCAGCTGAACTTAAGTAACCAACAAACTCATTTGAATGTAGACAGTCAGGCTGACCGGGGGCAACATTTTATTCTGCATATTCATAGTGGAGTCATTTACCTTAATACGCATGCAGGAAATATATCAAGTGAGTGAATTGTCTTTCTAAAATTGTGTTTAATCAAATCCTATACACGTCTATGAATTAACAGTTACCTTTTTTTCATGTTCCAATGCTCTGGAGGATGTTTATTATAAACTGAATGGTTGTCGGATTTTTATTTTAAAGTGAGTTTTAGTCCGACAACCATTCCGTTACTAACTGACGCATGCGCATTATGGTCATGGAATCGGTTGCCAAATTAAAAAAAATGTATTGCAGATGGATGCACGTTTCCCCCTTTCCAGTTGGGACCTGTGTCTTGTGGGTGTCCAGCCGCTGACTACCCCCGTAACACCGCTTGAAATTTGGCAACAGAGGGCTAAAAAGTCTTGAAATAACCAATGTCTCACTCTCCAAACGCTTGTCAGATTCTTTAAGCATTGTGTTCAGTTGTAGCCAAGTGACGACTGTTTACTGTATTCGTTGAAAGCGCCCTCTTTTGTTCAAAGTTATTCAACGCCCACCGTTTTCAAGATTTTCTGGAGAGGAATGAAGAAAAAGCAAAAAATCCATCTTAAAACTAACTTGGCCCCAGAAAAAGATGTAACCTCCAATTTGTCCATTTGGTTGCATTGGCCAAACTCTATGGAGATTCAAAAGTCGACATCTGCTTTTCTTCTTACAGAATAGCAGAAAAGTTGCTAGAACGTGTAACCTCCTATCTCCTTCTCTTTTAACCAAAAAAAACAAACTTTTCTCTATCCAGGGCAAACTTCTCCTCCTTGAATTGAAGCTCCGCCTCCAGAAGGAACACTTTTCTTTTGTACTTGTTCTGGAGGTATACGTGGAGAAATCTCACGACGATTGCTTTTAGGTCTTCTGGATAGGTTGGATCTAATGTTCCTGCCACACTACTTCTTGCCGATTCTCATTCTTCGCAGGCTTATGGTAAATATCTGGGATGGGAGACTCCAAACCATACGCAAGGCATCAACACAATCATGTCACAATAATGCGTGGTGGTTGTAGATTGCTGATCATTTAACGGACAACAGATCTGGACTGGGTCTCTAGGTGTTATTGCTCTTAATCCTAGTCTCATATATAGGGTCGAGGTTAACTGTCCCCCGTATCACACTAGGGCCGTGGTAGGACGGAGAGGCGACAATGTGGTCATGGACAGTACCCATCCAACGCTTCCCAGGCAGGCCTACGGGAAGGTGGCTCCCAGCTGTCTCCACTTCCTCAGGGGCATGATCGGTGCTTGGCCGCTTGCGGCACACAACAATAAGAATGACGCTGACGATGGCAACGACAACCACGGCTTCGATTGTCACGATGACTATGAAGCTAGGTGGGATTGGTTGTGTGGCTGGAGTGGGAGTTGTAGGCGATGATCTCACTGATGTCGTGAGCTGCAACATTAGGATCAACACTTCCCAAGCCTTGCCCATCCTGGACTGTGAGAGTCAATCAAAATGTTGTAAGAAAACCCGCTAGAACAGGTTGGACGAGTGTATGTTTCCGGGTTCTCAGCTAACCGTGACCCTTGCGTGTTTTTTTTTTATTAAAAACCCACTGACCTGATCGGTTATTTCTTTTTATACGACTGATTGTTATTGTAAACTATGCCATGGGCATGTTCATATTGAAGGAGTCATAAGAATTTCCGGGACATATCAACGGAGAGGGCGCTTTCCCTTGAACCTAAGCAATCTTTACGACACTTGATCACAGTCTGTTCGTCCGTTTGTCGGTTAGTTTGTGAAGCAAAGAAACAATAATTCCTTTAATGTAATTGATTTCCGTTTCATATTAATATGGGAAACTAAAATAGATGGGCTCGAACCGAGTCTAGCTGCTCTGGCCTCATCACAGTATAGTATTATCACGATAGTTACTGACTTGGGTATATTGGAAAACAAGTGAATCAACCTGACTAATCAATTAAGTAGCAATTAGTGGTTAATTACGGATTTTGATTTTGAGAAGGGTCTGCCATATGGTCGCACTTAGCTCATTATTACGAGCCCACTAATACCGCTACTGTTTGTGGACGCGTTTTTATAACCTCCGACCCCCTTGATTTGTATCCCTTTTTATCCATGTTTTTACTCGCACATCCTCGTTTATTTTATCTACAATCGTGAACTTTAGTCCGTTGTGAAACTGTGGAGCACGTTTTTGATGTCATATTTTGTTTGGAACCACGAAAATTTAGATGTCTTTTTAACTACCTGCCAATTTAACTTGCCGCCATACACGCTACACTAGTGAAGACATGTTGTTGTTTTTTAAAGGGACTTCATCTACCATTGGGACTGCTACTGCTTGCCACAAGACTCGTCAATGAAAATAACGGGAATATCTACGTGTTTGCAAAACATCAGAACTATGGTAGGAATGTTCCTTTTTCTTATCCCTGTACCGAACTGTGTTATGCTGTTAGACTAAGACTGCTAACTGTTTATTTCATCTCGTATGCCTGTACAATCCGACCAAGTTTTGGACGGGGCATGAAGTATGGCGTTTACCCGCAACAACTACCGAAAGGACTATGTGCTACTGTTTTATTAGTTAACATGCTTAGTGGGGACATTGAACTTAATCCAGGCACAACAAGGCGTGGCCGTAAGCCAAAATACCCATGTGTTATGTGTACCTTCTCTGTCAAGAACAATGACAAAGCCGTGCAGTGTGATGGGTGTGACATGTGGGCACATATAGGTTGTACTGAGGTCTCAAATAGATCGTATGAGTATCATCAACAAAACCAGCATGAACCTTGGTTTTGCCCTCGCTGTTCACTTCTGAACACCCCCATGTCGCAGAGTTTCGAAAACGTCTCCAACGCTAGCTCTGATAATACTGAGATGGAAAATGAAACGACTCCGACACGAACTTCTTCCCCGATAGATCAGAATACGCATTCAAAATCCAAAGCGAAACTTCCCAAATGCAGGAAACTGATTATTGCAATCATTAATTTCAGAGCATCCGGAGAAAAATCGCTGAACTACATGCCTTTATTGACAGTAAATCTCCTGACATAATTCTTGGTTCCGAATCATGGTTAGACGAAAATATTTGGTCATCCGAAATTTTCCCCAGCCAATATCAAGTGACCAGGAAAGACAGAAACACCAGAGATGGTGGTGGTGTTTTTATCGCCATTAAAGGCACTTTCAAGACCAGATCTTGTTCACGAATCCAGTGAACAAGCCTGGTGTCAGTTGCAGATGGGACCAGAAAGCATCTTTATTGGAAGCTACTACAGGCCCCCGGCTGCTAAAGACGACTTGGACATGTTAGACGCCAGCCTTAATCAAATTAAACAGGAATCGAAATCACCGTACATTATCGTAGGAGGGGATTTCAATATCCCGGACATGAAGTGGAACACTGACTCAATTGAGTTTCATGGCCCTCTTCCGGGACAGATTATCAATATCGCCGGTGACCACAGTATGGAGCAGATCGTGACCTTTCCGACACGTAGAAATGTGAATGGAACAGAAAACTTCCTTGATCTTTGTTTCTCAACAAGACCTTCACATGTGATCAACGTGTATCCCCACACTTCCTTTGCTGACCACAGTACTGTTATGGTTGAAATAGAGACACAAACTTCCATCCCTGTGAAACCACCAAGGACTGTTTATATTTGGAGCAAGTTGAATGAGCAAGGTTTTAAGGAGGACGCCCAAAATTTCGCTGACAAATTTCTGGAGAGTAAACCAGAACAAAAGACTGTTACCGAAAACTGGTGCTTCCTCAAAAACACCATCACGAACTTTGTCAAGAAACATGTCCCTAGTAAGCAGGTCAAAGGCCAGCAACGCCCGCCATGGTTCACACAGAGACATAAAAGACTCTGCAGGAAGAGAGAGAGCGCTACTACTTAAAAGCCATAAAGCACGGCAGTCAACAACATTGGGACCAGTTTAAGAAAATCCGAAATGAAGTTGATAAAGAACTCCTTAAGGCAAACCGAGAGTATGTAGCTGATCTATCATCTTCTAACAACACCAAGAAATTATGGAACTACGTAAGATCTCGGCGACAGGATAATGTTGGTATCCAGACCTTGAAAGTTGGTAATGTGACAGTTGTCGACGACCAAACCAAGGCCAACAAGCAGGCTTGCCGACCAGTTTCAAAGTGTTTTCTCATGTGAAGATCCAGTTCTCCCCTCAATGCCGCCCAGTCCTTGCCCAGATATTCCAGACCTGGAGATCACTGTTGACGGTGTAGAGATACTACTCTCCTCCCTCAAAGTCAACAAGGCTGTTGGACCAGACGAGATACCAAATGCTGCCCTGAAAACTGCTTCAGTCCAATGGGCACCCGTCTTGCAGTTTATTTTCAGCCAAAGTTTAGACCAGAATGAACTCCCAGAAGACTGGAAGAAAGCAAATATTTGGCCCATCTTCAAAAAAGGCTTGAAATCCGACCCAGCTAACTACCGTCCTATCTCACTGAAGTGTGTCTGTTGCAAGCTCATGGAACACATCATTGACAGTCAGATCATGAAGTTTTTATCTGCGTACAACATCCTTTCTGACGCACAGCACGCATTTAGACAATCTAGATCTTGTGACACCCAGCTCATCACAACTCTGCACGACCTGGCTTCAAATCATAATAGTTACCAGACTACAGACATCGCCATCCTTGATTTCAGCAAGGCATTTGACGTTGTCCCACATCAGCGCCTGCTTCAGAAGCTGAACTACTATGGCATCAGGAGCAAGTGCTTTGGAATATGCCTCTGCCGCTTAGAACCCAGGAACCAAAAAAAAACAGGGACATTCTTCAAAAAGTCCAACGAAGAGCAGCCAGGTTTGTGTGCGGCGACTATAGAGCCAAATCCAGTGTGACCAAGATGCTCACGGACCTCAATTGGGATCCTATCGAAACCAGGCGACAGACGCAACGAATAGTCACACTCCACAGAATTCTTAACCAGGACATCGACATTGACGCCAACTTATACCTCAGACAGAAAACTATCAGATCCAGGAGAACCCACAACAAGCAGTTTGAAGTCTACCACCATACATCTACCCCCTTTATTCAGTCTTTTTTTCCTGAAGCTATTTTACTTTGGAATACCCTACCACATCAAATTGTCAACACAACTTCCTCTGTAACCTTCAAAAGCTCCATCCAAAACCAACAAAAACATCACAGCCCCTGCTAGACATTAATCCACTCTCGTTAACTTCCAGTTTAGTCCCTGGTAGACCGTTCGGGAGTTTGAACTACAAGGTACAAGGTACAAGGTTTGTGATTAGGCGTGCGCGCTGCCTTTTCTCTTTTCACGCTTCCTAGTTGGCTGGCAGAAACTTCCAACTAAGAGACCCAGAAACCTTCATTTGCTCGTGACCCAGGGGGATTTCCTGAATCATTCTACAGAGAAGACCTTCCGTAATAATCACAGACTGGTAAGTGTTATCACTATATTACTTTATTCGGCCTATATTTTCATAAACGGTAATGTTTTTGTCTGTTTATAAATCTAGTCGTATGAGGAATCCTACTATACAACGAGTTTATAGTCGATCTTCGCACTTCTGCGTTTGAAAACGAGGCTGGCTTTGTCAGTAGTGCACCATTACTGGACCAAATCCAGTCTAATGTGGCTTTCTTAGCTGTAGGTAGCTTTCCAGCACTTAACTGGCTCATCACTCGTCACTCAAATTCTGATGGGAGGCAGGCTGGCTCTGGACAACAGACGCACATACATTGGGGATAGCCTGACTGTTTATCAAGGACAAACCACTGCACTCCCACCTGTTTTATTAGTATGTGCGAACATAATTATTTATGGTCGTCAACTGATTAAATAGCATACGAACCCGGGAATCCCGGGTTCGCGAAAGCCACATTAGATTTGGCTTGGTCCAGTAATGACGTTTACCGTCCACGAATCACAACGTGTGTTCCTTCTCTAAGATCTACGGTATGTTTATGTTACAAAGTACAAGTACAAGCACGATTGAATCGTGTCGAGATAAACATGTATGTCGCGGGGTCTATTCCAGTTTTGGAAAACCCCAATGATATCAATCCAACCGGTTCAGTTCGACAAAATAATCAAAGAAATAAAAATGTTCAGAAATAGGTTTATTTACAGTTCGAACTAAAAAGGACCTTTAATTCAATTCACTCATACACTCTTCAACTTGAAGTCAAAACAAAAAAAACAAAGAAAGTGGGTAATGTAAACACAAATGAAAATGCACAGAATATTACAATAATTAATACACTATGAAAGAAAATGGTAAGCTGTCAGCAGTTGCGTCTCCTGTAGTCTTGTCCAGATCCAGCGATGACCGACGATCCGAATCCCGGTCACGTCCGCGAACGCGCGAGTACAAAGTTCGCGAAAAGAACAAAGTTCACGGAACGAGAAACATCGGAGTCCGGACAGCTGACGGCGCGAGCTGACGACTCAAACGTCCAAACGAAAGCAACTCATCAGGGGACAGCCAGGAGGTGTGATGAAATGAAGAAATGGTGATATGGAGGGAAGCGGAGAACAGAAGCCCCTCACATACACAGCTCCACAAGTGGTCACGTACAGGTCTCGTCCTCGTCCAAAATGACCAGCGGCAGGAGAACCTGTGCCAGGAAAATGATGGGTTACAAAATAATGAAAATGTAACAGCGGCGATTACAGTCCGAAGCAAGGAGAGTGATGTACTCTACACCAGAGCAAGGAAAGGAATGCCGCACCCCGCGCACAAACAACCCATCTATGGAACGCCAAACGTACCAATCACATAATGCATTGACGACATTATCAAATTACGTTTACATCATAAATTGGTACGTTTGGCGTTCCATAGGTTAGCGGCAATAGCGGGCTCCCGCTCAAGTCGAAATACGTAGAGTGTTTGCATGTACATATGGCACGGCGACGTCGGTGAAGGGCAAAGCCAAATTTGATTATCACCACGTCGCCAAAAAAAAAAAACCATCTTATAATATATCAATGTTGTTAGTAAATTTTGTTCTGATGGGTAACATGTATTCCTTGCAATGTGAACAAAAATAGTTTCACAATTTTCTCCTCTTTTACACCGACGGAATGTGCCTTTTTTCTGAGCAAGTGCCCCTTTTCAGTGATCCCCCCCCCCCCCCCCAGTTTGAAAAGCGTTCCGCCGCCGCTGTCATAAGAAGTGAAACTTCGTTTTTATCTCTGGTTTGGCTTCTGGTCTGCAATAATTGTTTTACGCTGACAACGTGAAGACCAAATTGCAGTGTACGAAAACGTTTCTGATTACAAGTGTATAGAAATATAATATCTAATTATTTTTGTTGTAAGCGGGACATAAATTTAGCTGGAGTTCAACCAAGGTATTAAGAAATCGCCCGAAGCTGATGATGAAACCAAACATTGGGAAATGCGTTTAAAGTCTGTTTCCGGGATCGTAGTTTGTGGACAAAAACCACGAGGTGAGAGCCCTTGATACCGCGTACACAGTATTTATACACGATAAACGGCCACAATTTGGAGGTAGCAGAGTACACGAATAAAAATAACTTGGTACCATAATTCACCGCAAATGTAATTTCGCACAGTGTTATAAGCCTTCGACTCTCATCGAGTCGAGTCTTTTCTTGAGGGACTCGAGTCGAATCGAGTCATTTGTTCGCCGTGATTCGAGTCGAGTTGGGACTCGAATTGAGCGGCTTCACCAACAATTGTGACTCGAGTCAGATTCGAGTCGAGTCATTAACTTGAGTCATTACAACTCTGCTCCAACCTGGAACTCGCCCAAATTGACTCCAAACTCGGACTCGACTCAAGCGACTTGACCGGACCGTAACACTGTTCATCGGCACTATCAGCAAGGGCGTCGCCAGGATTTTTTTGGGAGAACTGGATCTTCACATTTTTTTCCCTCAAAATCCGTATTTTTTCAGCATTTTCCCCATTGATCATTTTCGGAGGGTGGGCAGGGATATTTGCTCCCCCAACCCATTAAATTAGCAACAACATGATTTCGCCCCTCTTGTTCTTGTTTTTTTTCCCTTTTTTTCTTCTTCTCCTTTTTTAAAAGGCTCGTCGGGGGGGGGGGGGGGGGCAAGCGCCCCCTTGCCCCACTCCGCCCTTGCGACGCCCATTACTATCAGCATCATCAACTTTCAAATAGTGCTGGTAACTCGTTATGCCCAACGAAGTTGTTGATCCCTTTATCAGATTAACGGAACCTTTGGGTTTTTTTTCGACGCTTGCTCTCTCTCTGTCCATAGTTTTCACCCAACATGATTTTCCTCATTCTCTTATAGACTACTGAAGTTGACTGAACTGACCCCTCTTGAAGTGTGACATCATGGCAATGTCAGGGGTAAGTGATTTAACAGTCAGAAAAATATGAAATCTACCCTAGGCAGGTTCAGTTTTTAAGTTGAAATCTTAGCAAGCACTTCCCATCCGATCCTGTAGCCAAGCAAGCAAAACAAGCCTAACCAAGTCTAAACCATCCAGCCGAGCCGAACCAGGCCCAACCCAACCGAGCCGAGCCAGGCCCAACCCAACCCAAGTCCAGGCCAGCCAAGGTTCCCCAAGCCTATAGCCCAGCCCAGCCTATACGAAAGGCGGTGTTGTATCCGGGGAGGGGAGTCACTCAACATTGTTTTCCTTTTTTAACCTGATACAACTTGGATCGCTGTCTAGTTACTCGGATTTGATCGCTTCTGGACCAGTTTATTCATACAGTGACGTTATAATGTCGGAATGCAACACTAAAGCAGTGTGTTTTGGTAACATGGTCGCAATTGGGTGATGGAGTGAACCGCCCATCACCCTTTGGTTCTGTCAATGTTCTTTGTTCTTGTGTGATTATTTTTCTTGACAATAATTTTCCGCGGCATTGTTTTCTCAAACGGAAAATCGCATGAAGTTCAAAATTGGCATTAACATCAACCCTGATACAGAGGTGTGCGTACAAGTGTGACGTCATGATGACGTCATCAGTCACAAATTACAAGCGATTTTAGTTCAAATAGTGTCCTTTTTGTTTCAGTCATAACCAAAGAACAAAACAAAGGATCATAGCTTGATGAACATTTGTGTGTGTGTACGTGAAGTCGCTTGACCAGTTGACCTCTACCTCCGTGGTTAACGGAAGATAGGTGAATTCAAAATACCGAAAGAGGCGTAGATATTAAAACAAAATTAATTTCTTCCAAACGGTTCTGGGGATGACGATGTAACCTTGTACAAACATGCATCATTGGGTAACAATTTGACCAAAAAATCGTGACGTCAACTTGACGTCATCACACTGAATTATCAGCGATTTAAGGTCAAAATCTGACATTTTACTTTCAACTATATCTCTCAAACTGAATTGATTACCGGGTGTTTTTGTTTTAGTGAGGTGGTAGATATTGTCTTGGGCAATGTGCTGGATTTCCGTGCACAGAATCGCTTGACCTTTACTTCCAAGGTTGCCGGAGGTACAATGATAAATGAATAAAACTGGAAACAGAAGCATTTTACTATAGTAGTACAAATTATCGAAGGTGTTAAGTGGGAAATGGAAAAATCATTTTTTTTTTTAATGACGTCATCCTCCGAAAAGACGCCCTCTAGCGGCAGATCAAAGACAGTTAATATTTTGAAATTTAAAAACCCTATGTCCAAATTTTACCAAACTGCCCACAAACATTGTTTTACAATGATGACGTCATCAGACAGGAAGTTATTGTAGGGAGACGTTGTAGTCATCAATGTTTACCATTTTTAAATTAAAATCCTTCGTTTGCGCATGAGCTCCGTGCACAAGTACCCCTTCAACGGCCAGAAACAAGGTGTAAATAACATGTGATTTGCAATTTATCGTTCCGTAAACGCATTTGTTCAAATTAATGAATGCTTCAATGCGAAAAAAAGTTTGAATTTTTATAGTTGTGTGGTGGTTTTGGGTGGGTTTTTTTGCAGCTACGCGATGTCGCGCAGCAATCCGACGCAGCTTTCTTCCTGTATCCTCATTCGATACCGCAATTGGCTAGTAATGGATTTTTATCGTGTAGTTGGTGTTGTTATTCACAACGTGCAGTACGTGTTTTCGCGATCATTCGTCCACGCCTTCTCGAAAATACACATTTCCTTTCCAATTTGTTCATATAAATATGAAATATGATACTGCATATTGTCTTGATAAGATCGTAACAGTTTAATTAAATGAATCGTGTTTTCGTAACTCACGCCACGCTCGCGCTGCGACGAATTGACTCTATTTTTACCCCAGACGCCGCATACCAAACCAAACGCTAATGTAACGCACATGCAGGCACCAGACTATTCCTCATTTGTATACGTATTCAAAAATCTTGCACATGCAAATGATCCAATACAGGGTGAGAGAGCAGGTAGTGATAGGCGCGTACTGCTCGACACCCTGGGGACGATGTTGAGTTTAGTCCCAATACTCTCTTTCAACTAAGGCCAAGTTCGCGCAAGGACTATAGTTGACCAATGGTTAACTAACGTTTGCCCGAACTATGTCTAGTCGACGGTGGTTGACTACGCTAGTCGACTATTTGGAACCAGCCTACTGGGGTTGGTTGCTTCGCTGGTAACCAATGGCCGCGCGCATTCATAACGCTAGCAGAGAGCCAGGATCCAGAAGTTTTGCGATGACATTTTGACCAGCGTTTGACTAGAGACGTTCGCACGTTGCTATAAGTGCGCAGGCGTAAGGTACGTCACAAATCAACCACTAGTCGACTAATGGTCCTTGCCCGAACTTGGCCCAAGTATGTTTGTCAACAATAATTACGTCAGATACTTTTTGGATAGTTGCAAATGATGGACTACAGCTTTAATGTTGAGTTAACCGGGTCGTCTCAAAACCAAAAACAAATCGCCAAAAAAAAAAAAAAAACGAAAGCGGTGTTACCGAAACCCTTACGCAAAGATGTTTTTTTTGTATCTGTCTTGAACAAAACAAAAGACATAAAGGGACTCCAAATCTGTTGAAGGGGTTGTTGGGAGTCAACCCCTAGTCATAGTATTGGAATTTCTGAAAACGCGTGCTCATCAACGTACGCAACAAGTTGAGTGTCTATAAACTACCGAATTTTAGTTCATGGCTAGTTCTTCAAGCTGGTACTATAGGCCTATGCGTGCTTTTTAGGTGTGGCACTCAAAATTGAAATGATAATTTTCTAGCATTACGTTAGTTAAGAGCTTTTTATCGAACGGAAAAATAGTCCCACGATAACTAATCAATTAAGTACTTTCTACTTTTGAATTTATTAAGTTCGATAGCCAGCGGTACCTATGCATGTGCCTTTATAGCGACAGTGCAGTTTATGAATAACTATGTCAACAGCATCCCCCCCCCCCCGGAAAAGCAAAAAAAAAAAAAATAAGCGGAGAAAACAGAGGGAAAAAGGAAAAAAAAGAGGTGCAAAGTCATATTGCTGTTAATTTTATGGGTTGGGGTGGGGGGAAATGTCCCTGCCTACTCTCGAATAATGATAAATCGCGAATATTTAAGTAAGTACATTGATTTCGGGGGGGATGTGCTTTGCCACCCTCTAGAAAAAAATCCTGGTGTCGCCCATGGTCAACAGCACACATCACAAGTAGGTAATAACGATAATAAGAAGAGTAATACGTGTAAAGGTACCACTAAGGAGACACGTTATCGTAATTTCTTCGCACGATGGGAGACATCGGTCATTAGGGAGACATTTTCATGTCTCCCTAATGTCACAGCCCCCTTTTGAGGCACAATTTTACTGTCGCAATTAGGTTATATTTGTTGCTCGTGTTCTAATTAGTAAACATACCGAAATTCGTGGGAAAAGGACAAGGGAATATTGGGTTAGGGCACATTTAAGTTGGAAAAAGTTTGTGCACAAGTCTATGGGGATGTCTCCCAAATGTCCAATCCAGAACGTACATGTATTCCTACAAAATGTACCATTATGGAGACACGTTATCGTAATTTCTTCGATATTAAATAGGGAGACACCGGCTTTTAGGGAGACACATACCTGTCTCCCTAATGGCGCAGCCCCCCTTTAGAGGCAAAATTTTGCTGTCGCAATAGGGTAATATTTGTTGCTCGTGGTCTAATTAGTAAAAATACCGAAATTCGTGGAAAAAGGACGAGGGAATATTGGGTTAGGGTACATTTAAGTTCGAAAACTTTTCTGCACAAGTCTATGGGAATGTCTCCCAAATGACCCATTCCCCGTAATTATTACATGTACTTGCATGTTCAGACTAATTGTACATGAACATGTACATCTTTGGTCAAGTACATGCACGTGTGTATAACGGTATACAGTGTGGAACCGTATGCGACCAAAAAACATGGATGGGCCACTTAAAACCAGACTTGGAAAGCCATGGGTTTTGCTATCCACGGTAGGACAGAAAAAGACGCAAAAATAGCAGAGATTCTGGTAGAAGGTAGCAGTATGGTGCAGCCACGCCGGCCTGGCTGCACGTGGCCTACCGTGATCGCGAAGCGCAGCAGTGTCGCGGCCCAGCCTTGATCATCGCCTACTTAGCTATAGTCCGTTGGCTATGGGGGTCCCAGTGCCCCCCCCCCCCCCCCCAGAACCCACCGCCACCGATATTTTTTTTATCCTAGGCATGTCCCCAATCGGAAAAAAAGATGTTAACAGTGAAAATTTAGGGATGCACTCTCTCAGGAGGCCAATTATTGGAACCGCGTCTGATTGAGTTTACATGCATTTTCTTAGCACTAGGGTTGGAAGGGAAAAAACAAATGCCATAACTTCAGCACACCTTGAACGATCTTAACCAAACTTGGTACAAACAATGTTCATGAGAAGGTCTTTTAGATAATATCATTAGTCGCCATGGAAACCAATCATAAAGGGCGCTAGAGGTCAACAAACTTTCTGGTCACATTTTCTTTCGCAGTTGCCATAATTATTTCTGAAATTTAATCATTAAAGTTCACTGTTCATCTTAAAAGACACCAAATGGTAACACAGCATCTAAATAATGAATTATCTGACTTTATTTGAACTAATTTGCGAGTAAAGTTCTGGCAAATTGACAATTGAACATCATTTAAATGGTATATTCACCCCCATGCTGAACCCGGTTTCTACTACTCTTAGCGATTGGGGTGGAAAGTGAAACGTCAATCTTTCAGATGCGTGGACATGCATTCACCAATCTTGTTAAAACTTGACATGGTACATTTTCATTTATATATCACGGAAACCAACTATAGAGGGCGCTATAATTAGATGAATACATAATAATGGTACATTTTTACTTTTTAATTAGGAATCAATTAACAACTTTTTCGCTGCAAAAATAGAGGGCTATCACCCATTGAATCGCGCG